CTTAGGGCCGATTGATTTTGGTTGCTTTCTTTTGCTTCATCCGATGGACCCTACCCTCATGCATGATTTGCGCTGTCTCCCATAAGTTGGAGCCGCATTTCGATCACTTGGATTTTACAACTGTTGAGTATATGTTCTTGAAGACCCCAAACTCAACATTGAACTCCTTACTAAGAGTTGCTCGTACAGGCTGGTAACTGAGCTGTAAAGATGTCTGCTAGTAACCGGCGGAGGTCAGTGCATTGTTTTCATCATCGATTATCCACACTTGACGCTTCTAGATGACGACGAAATTGTGTTGCGTGTTACGACAGAACAATCTGACATTCGATCCGAACCCATATTTTGTCCAAAGTTCATCTGCCTGTATAACTGTTTTTCCTTGGACATAGTTGACTGATTCCTCGATGCATTCATGCATTTGTTGGCTGCCGTAGATGTGTCGCCGAACCATAGCGAATGAATTAATAGTGATTGACAGCAATTGTAGACTTACTGTTTACAACCGGACTTAAATTCGTCTATTTTTCAGTTTAGCAGCATTAGCTTCCACACTTTCCATCTGAACACTCTGTTTGTCCTCAAAGCGGCTACTCATTAAGTAACTTCCTTTGGTTAAAGCTGCGAGTCTACTATGTATCTTTGATTTCAACCCTATTACTCCACCAGCCTCCACACCCACTTCGGGACTACTTTCGTCGTTCAAACTTTTTGTACCGCCTATCGGCAAGGCCCCTTTAGGGAATTCGTGGTTTTCTGTCCAAAACCGGCACAACAAAGCTACTACAGTGTTGACCACTACGCACTTTCTTTGCACCATTTGTTGTGGGCGTCATTAAGTTCTGTTAAGAGCCTTACTCACTTTATCCTCCTACATATGTGGCTCGAGCAGACCTTACGGGGAGATTTTGCGTCTACTTTTGGCCACCTACAATACAACGGATTTCAAGCTGACTATAAGCCAGGGTTACCTTGCAGCGATTAGCTCATAATCCAACTTATAACATTGCGTTGCGTCAATGATTTCAGACTAATTGTCTTTGTACTACATCTGAAGCCTCCAGGTTGGAAACTAGGTGACATTTCAAGCGAATTCTGTCTACCAGTCTATAGTTCTGCTTAAGCAAGCTGTGCGAAAAGCGGAATAACCTAGAATACCAAAGGGTGTACGAATTTTTGACACAGGCAATATCGTCACAACTCAAGCAAGTTGGCAGACAACACAATTGTCGCAGGTCAGTGAACGCAGTGTCTCTAGTGACCTTCGCTTTGGAGTAATAGTATCACCCTTACCCTGTCGTCGTTTTGTGTTGCATTCACCAAATTACCCGAATGACCTCTACTCCCCTCTGGGCGCGAAAACCTCGTTTATTCATCCTCCTACTAGCATAGCATAACTTTGTAGCCCATAAACACCGTCGATTTGATGGCATAAACAGACGGCAATGAATCGCCTGCGTTAACTGCGTTACTAATCGTGTGTTATCGCATGACTAACAATCGCATCATCCCAGTCACAAAATTTAGACTGTTGCCCACTGCGATGACCCGGTTCACGGAACCACAAATAATCATCTATCAGCCGAAGAGGTGGTCACAAAGTTCGAGCTGTCACACTTGAGCACATACTTCGGCACCTGGGCTTCTGTTTAACACCTCTCCGATTGTATTACTAATTCACCTGGCTTGACGCAGCCTTCGCGTCAAAAGCAAAACGTTGTTCGCAGAATACGTCAGCTGACTGTGTACCCAAACATCTAAACTAATACCTCAGTGCTTACGCTCATTCTTCAATGGCTGGACGCTAGTCAAATGTGAAGGGGTTAGTATTTATCTGATGGGAAATGCGACCTCCGAGAACAACAACTGGTGGGTTAACATTTATTTATTTTAACCACGCATTTGAGGAAACCGAAACATTTCTGAAACTGCCCCTCTATCGTTGTGCGGATATATTGAGGAATAAGTTTTCATGCCGAACAGCACTTTGTTCGACATTGTGATCCACTACCCAGTGTCCAGTAAACATGTGTTGCAGAATTTTTCTGTCTACTTTACTTGTCATCGGTTAACCTCGCACGACCCACTCTAGCTTATGTTTGCGGCGAAACTTCCGTTCACTGTCAGCACCGGTATTGCATTGGTCTGCCTGTCATTCTTATTTACTTTGATGACCCTTTAGCCTTTGTTTCCGTACCATTACCGCACACGGCTCTTTAACTTATCTCTTCGCACTTTGAGGCACTGTGGAAAATGTATACGGGAATCATTTGCCGATTGCTCAGAAGTTCCGGAGCTCAGGGAACCCAACTCAAAACGGTGCCACCTTTCTCGCCCCACCCACAAGGTGGGGATCGAGCGACATACTGCTAGAGTAGACTCACCTCAACTTAATGATGCCTATAGACACACAACACCACAGCCCGCCCACGCTAGAATATTACGTTGTGACTCTTCGAATTCTTTTATTGTATACCACACACAACTTCTGTACATGGAACATGTACTGACTTCTCGAGCATATTCATTTAATTCATCTGTTGCCCTGTCCTCCCAAGGAACTACGCTGGTCCCCATCATTTGCCACTCCTTTCCACCACGTCTCTGTAAAGAGAAAAGGTACCGTGATTGCTCTTTCTGTGGCTCTGTCGTGGGTTTTTCTTGTAGCCTGCAAACATAGATTTGCGTTTTTGGCATGCGTGTGCGTGTGAGCTTGCTCTTCTATAGACCCTACCTGTGTGCTCACCCCCAAGCATCATCTACGAACAAACGGTGAAACTAACGTCATCGTGATCATATCTCTTGACGAGTATGTGAATGAGATTCTTTTATTGATGCCATTTTTAGCTCAGTTACCTATAACCGGATGTATCCAAACCAGCCACAGAGTCTTGATCTTCTAGGCCATGCATCTTTGAAATCAAAGAGTAATTCACATTTTGACATCAAGCGCAGCATTCGGTTCTACCGATGTGCCCGATCGGTTTAAAATTGATACACTTCGTTTAAGTACTGCGCTTGATAGTGAATGCGGAGCATGCATTTCGGATACCAAGGAATGTAAAAGGCGAGCTCGAGATGCGCCCTACAAATATCCTATTGACTTGATTGGGAAAATAGTGTTGTAAATAACATTTTCCACGACATCCAGGGTACCCTTCGGAACAGCCAGCATATTACACACCTATTGTCACATCACTGCACCAATATAAATAAATAAATAATAGACGATATATTCCTCGACCGTGCGAGGCTTAATCCAACTGAATGGTATCTAAGGCTGAAGGTCCATCTTACTCATCTGTCACGTCGTGTGATTGATACGGGTGCTCAGCGTTCTCATTTCCCTAAGGTCGATCACTACGTCAAGAAATACTTCGTCTGTCCATTTTAGTTTCCAACCTTCCAGGTTGTTTGCGGTGCTGCAATTGTTGGCGCATTCTTCACCATTAGCTGATTTCGATTGCTGTGCTCAGTTGCTCTTTGTGTCTTTATTTAATTGTTCCCATTTTCGAGTTCATTTTTCCATGGTGTGTGTTACTTCTAAACGCCGTATACTATGAACTAGCATGAAAATGCGCAAACTGCCAGCTTATCCATTGCGACATCTACCGTCAGTTGACGCTAATCAACTCCTCGTGTTCATCATTAATTACCGGATCATAGTGGAACAGTTGAGCGTCTCCATTTGTCATGAATTACAAAGCTGTTCATGTGAGGAGCCCATCAATCTCTGCTTCATATGACCCAGTGGTTTAAAGTATCCTTGGCGTATCCATAGTTTGACATCTAGTTACTTTTCGCGTTCATTCACGAGGACAATTTTAGCCTGTGCATGCATTGGTTTTGTGACATAGCTTCTGAATTCGATGTAGCTATTTTTCAGTCATCGATTCGTAGGTATTCAGCACTCGGATCAACTACTTGTCAGCTCATATCGATTAATTTATATGAAAAAGGCGGTACGCTGCTTACGGCTCATATTTTATTTCGTTCACTGTTTAACTATGCTCAATTTATTTCATGGACTAATTCCACTCGCATTAAGGATGTGACTCTCACTTAGTGACTCGTACCCGCCAATCAATGAGCCAACGCTCCTTTCCAATGCTGGCGCCAGTATGCGTACTTCGCTAATCATGACCACCTCTGTTGAGAGTCATCAATCCTCCTAATGACACTCATAAAAGATTATTCACGTGTGGCTGCAGACTGTTTTACGTGTCTGTCTCCACTTGGTAAGCCCAATTACTCACCCCTGAAGCAGAGCTGAATACTGTTCAGTGCACCTTCAAGATCCTACTTGACCTCATAGTTTGTCACCACGGCAACATTCCGTCGGCATCGTGTCTTCGACGTCCCTGACCTTTACGTGGGCGAGTCCGTCTGTGTGTTGTCGGATGGCTGCTTTTCTAAGCCATCCACGGCAACCACCGTTATGTAACGAGCAATCAAGTTGCTAACTGGAATAGCTTCTACCAGTCAGTCACATTGGTTTAGACCTCTCGTTATTTGTCTACTTGAATCAATAACTGCCTCGATCTGGAGGTGTCTTTTCAGCGGCATTCTTATTTTCCTGTTTGTCAACTGGTTCAGAACGATATAGTACGCGAGGGCATGGGATTCCCTACCGGACTTCATCAGTGACCATTTATCTCCACGTCTTGACAAAGTGAAAACCTAGTTGTTACCGGACTTTCATCGTCCCCTTGCAGCGTGTTCGAGCGTTAACCCGCTACGTGAAACTTCGCATGCCGTAGTTATGAAAAGTTGGCAACTGATTTTCGCCAAAGTGCTTTTACTCACCCCAAGAGCATTCTAATCCACTCTTTACTTTGATTGGTTTTCTGAGCCTCTCACTCTTCGCTTTGTGTTGGATGCCTGCAATTCATTGTCTGAGCCGTGCCGAGCATTTTACCATGTGTGTTTGAAGGTTTGTCGCATATGCTGGCTGTTTGTGCAACTTATCACTCACTAACCATTTAACCATTCTTTTGCAGATTGGCTGCGACGGATGCTGCCGGTAATCCTGCTGGCCTTTATGGCACAACCAACAGTGGCTTCATGAACCCCCTCCTGGCAGCCGGTCTTTTGCCCAACTTTGGTATGCCTACAGCCGCCGCAGCAACTTCCGCCTTTAATGGTCTGATTCCAGCACCTGGCGCTCAACTCCCCACCGTTGGAACTCATGGGGCGGACGCGCGCCTTTCTACTTCTTTGTCACTCAGCCCGCTGAATAATGCAAATATGCTTCTCAACTATCCATCCACTGCAAACGGCAATCCGGCAGCAGTGACTTGTGCATCACAATTCTCTCCCGCGGCATTAGCTCTTCTTATGTCTGCGTATGGTCACGGTGCTGTCACTTTGGGGACGACGATAAACGGCAATCCTTATCTCGGCCAGCCGAGTTTGGGTGCGCTACATCCAGCAACCAGTTTGCTCACCCTTAGCCCGACTACTCCGAACACATTGCCTCTGCAGACTGGTGCCTATTCGTCCAGTCAGCCGATGCCGGTAACTCGGAATCTGGGGCCAGACGTATCAGCGGGAACCGACCTGAATGCATATTCAACTGCTGTGGCTTATCAACGGCTATTAGGTGCGGCCTCCAGCGGTTACACTCCGATTCAGTCGCCACTACTTGCCCCGACAGGTGGCTTAGCACTATCACAAGCAGCCACTGGTCTGAACGGCTCTGTGGGCTGTGCGACTCCCGTTTTCGGCTACAGTGGCACGTCTTTACCGGATCCATCCAACACCATGACAGCATATACTCATTCCTCGGAGGTAATGGGTAACGGATTGCACAACCCGAGCGAACCAGTCAACGGACAAGCCATGACACCTGGCTTACAACACAATGTCATTCAGTCGACTACAGGGCAAGCTCACATGGCTTTAGTATCCACCAGAGATGAAACTGTGGAGTGCAACTCAGGGCCGGTGCTTTACAAATAAGGACTATCCATTAAGGCTTTTGCCTCATGATGTCTGCTACTTACATGTCTCATCCAATGACCTGTCCTGCGGACATAATTTGGGCCACTGTAAGCGAGCAAGCAGTTTCTTTGGTTGAGGAACACATTCCAGTTATCGTATATTTCCCTTCTCCACCTTGTTGGTTCTTTCCTTCACCCACCAGATGTGCATTGGCACTCTGTCCGGTACTTTTTCGGTTCTTTTGTCCACTCCCCTTTTCCATTTATTTTTGGGGAGCAACAGCCATTATGTGATATGTCTGACTTCTATTACGTCCCCATCGTTCTCGTATGTCTTTCGAGATTCTCTCGATCAAACTACTCTGGGAGTAAATCGTCCAAACCGTCCGCTCTTACCTCAAAGTGCTTGACTGCATTAGTCCTCGGATTTCCTCTTTTCTGACTTGCAGCTCCTTTCTGTCAGCCACGTCGTTCTCATCCATGAGGCTTTTTCTTCCTTTATCTGTTTACTTTCTTTTTGGTTTTCTTTTCCCTTATTTACTTACAACAACGACAGTTTCATACCCTCCTATTCAGCCCAATCATGTGGTTTCAATTCGACCTTGCTCATGTGACCTTGAGGCAGAACATGCACAACGTGAACGCTTCGGTAATTTAAATAGAACGGCATATGTGGAAAAATTTCGCAAGGTTTAATTAATCTTCTTGTCTGACGATCAAGAGCTTCAAGGAACTTAGTCTTGTTAATTTTGTACTCATATGAATTATCTTCCGGTTGTAAATGTGTCAAACTCCGAATACTGGAATTTGGTTCCTCACCGCATGCTTGTTGTGTTTGCTGTCACAAAACTTGTTATCATTCGTCATACCACCGATTACACTGCACTGGCGATTGAAGGCTCTCGTTGAAAGTGGAATTATGGCTGCTAACAGCGCGCCGAGCTCTCTATGAATGTGGACCTAGTGATCTACTATCAATCAGTGTGGACCAGAGCTAGTATGGACGACCGACTGTATCTGCCTCTGCCACATTGTGGCGCGGTTTGCCTAGGCCCTATGCAGTGCGTTCGACTGTTGCAGGACCTTTCAGTTCACGTATTTGGCTAGCCATCATAGCTCAAACGTGTTGGTTCATCACGCTGACAAGCTGCCTACTACCTCCCTTTCATACGCTTGCTACGTTTCCGGATATTTTTCGGACTACATATCAGACATTTCTTCCTTTGGTCTTTCTCCGAATGAGCAACTTGTTTGCTAATGGCACTCATCACTATGTCTGATGTTTACGTCCACAGCTTCTGGTTAATGGGTAATTCCAGTTTATGCCAACCGGCCTAGCACTCCATACCTCGGATTTCTGTGAACTGCAGGTTACCCTACTGATTCACTCGCAGGCATAGAAACGCATCAGGATCTCAACCATGGCCGGTGTATCATATCAGCATAAGTACCAGGAAGTCTAGTAAGCTGCTGCCAAACTAGGCATTGCTGTTACTGGGAAAATAATCACTTGACTGTGCCTTACCGGGAGTAACTGTGCATGTTTGGTATTATTCGCGTTCAGACTTGTCTGCTTTAGTGACTTCCAGCACCGGCTGCAACTAGCGAGGGATTACACACGTGTGCAACATTTCATTTACATTGGTAGAAACAGATTTTAGAAGCATGCATGTAGGAGCTAGGTTGATTCAAAACAGACCCAATGTCTCCGCTTGCGCATATTACTTGTGGGTCGATGAAACCCATGTATTTATATCCCATTGTTATAACAACACACGTAAATCAGATGTAGCCTCGACAGATAAGCATAGACACATTCCGTGGAATTTCAGCCGTTTAATAATTGAACCGCACCGTGGACTCAATACTTCCGCGGATACTGTGCCCCACCAGTAGCGAATTTGGGGCAAATAATCTACGAGACAACACATCATACCCGAGTAAATCTAAAATATAATCAATCACTCAGCTAAAGTTCAACTGGGGAGTCAAGGAACTGTATGCACCTCAACGGCGCACCCATTTACAATCTACCGCTAACCCACTCACCAGCGTTTGTGTATGTTGTTGTTAGTGCACTCAGTTGGTACGCGGTTGACTTACTCGAAGGTCGAAGCATGACAGTCATCAAAACTCGGGGACTTTATTCACAAGTTATTACAGAATTATGTCATTTCACTCGATGGATTGGGGTGATCTGAATTGTCTCGTAGTTCACAAGCATCACAGTAATTTGCTATTCGGATAAACCATCTATCCAGCTACAGTTTATTCGGAACTACTTTATACAGTATTCGACACGCTTTTGTACACCTTGGAGTTCCCTGCACCAGTTTGTTGTACTTATTCACCCTACCGTATTATTTCTGAGAACCATGGCTGTTCTCTGTTTCCCTAACTGTCCATTGCTACTGGATAATGTTTGAATGAACATTTCTTGCGTCCATTGTCTACAGTCACAATAGCTTCAAAATCATTTGTTTAACCAAATTATTCACGCTTCATTGATCTGCTGAAAAGCGCCCACTTGGCTACGTTGCAGAGCCCAGTTGCTCCTTGCGCTTTGCTCATGGCACTTGCATAACTTCAAAACAAGCCGAACCCTCATGTTATACACCGTCATTGATGTGTTTGATTATCATCTGGCTCTCCTACACCGATACTTTAAAACGAGTTTATCTTCACCACTGTTGTTGTTCATTGTGACGCAACGATTGCACTCGTCTGAAGTCGAGCAGCACCGCGCTGTCATAGCAATCACCCTATAAAAACTAAAACAGAGGTAGGCATCATCCGTTTCCGTAATTGCATGTGACTGGGATCGCCACGACACTACGGAGTGCCATGGGCCGCAACACTCACAACTTCATCCACACACCTCATTTCCGATGTTGACCCGAAGGAGGAATAGGACTAAAAGTCATGTGACTGGGAGCCGCGGTTGATTCAGAGCCGGTCAACACTTCGTCAACACGCACGTCATTCACAGAGGGAAACATGAATATCAGACGTACTCAGGATGGTGGTTAGATCGTCACTGGTTCCACACTGGATGGAACCACTCCTTGAGCTAAGCATTGTCGGCAAGACAGTGCGCTCCGTCTCCTCTTAGAAACAGTCTTCTGGATCCAATAATCGAAGTGGCGGGATTCGACAATGCGGTGCCTTGTCAGCAATAACCTCAAGCGATCCAGACGTGGGATGATAGTCGACAAACGTTGCCAATCATGCAACCATACACCCGCACAACCACCCATACGGACTAACTGTATCGATGGCCTAACACGTGCCACATTTGTAAAATCATTGGCCTAGGTTAGTGAAGTCGGGATGGCCGTCCTTATTATACGATGATGCACACCATTTAATTTGCCCCTCGCCTTCTGGATATTGACCTCTGGTGGCCCGCAGATTGCTGAACAGACTTGCTCGACTGGCACACACGAAAACCTGTACTACAGCACCAGGTGCATGAGATCGACAACCTGGGTCTGATTAGTTTGATGACAACAGCAAACTGGTGTCAGAGAAGAATGCGGAATGTTATGCGCATGTGAAGGATTCCGGTACCTCGGAGAAAAGGTAAGTTCGCAAGATTAGTTGGCAATCGGCTCGGAAGTTTCGGCGTATCACGATTACTAGGTGGACGAAGAAGGTGAAGCAGATGTAATGCTATATTGAAAACCGTCACCATAATGAATTCTTTGACTCCTTTGATTCAGCATATGGACCCACCTATATCAGGGGCTGTGGAGTATGCTCGACATTAATTCGGGCGCTGTCTGCAAGCGGACTACAAACACCATGCAGTTGTGGCGCAGGCAGTTTGATGATCTCCTGAACAACTGTTTCAAGATTGCATAGGATACGATGCGGGGGCTGCAATAACAGAACACAAAAGACGATTGTGCCGAGCTACGAACCGGCAATTGTGTCAGTGCCGATAGGATGCCAACAGAAGCGCCGAAAATCGGTGACTCTGCGAAGCTACATGCGGCGCAACCTTTGGTGAGACGCGTGTGGCTGGAGGCGCAGCTGTGCTGAAAGCTGCCACTCTGCACTACTAGTGTACAAGTGCAAAGGGAGCACGTAATGCACCCAACAGTTATCATGATTGCAACCAGCTTAGTCAACTCGGGGATACAGTTGCTCGGATCCTGCACAGCCGCCTCATTACTCAGGTCCTCAAACCAAACGTGGCTGAGGAGCAGTGCGTATTCCGTCCAAACTGCAGCACAATAGATATAGTGTTCACGACTTGTCAACTTCACCGGCAGTGCCATGAACGAAATCAGTCATTGTGCACACTATAAGTCAACCAAAGCATGTGACACGGCGATTTACTAGGAACTGTCTTTGATTTTGAGTAAGCTAAGATGTCCTAGCAAATATATTCGTCCAATGGAATGCCATCATCATTATCATCACACACTGGCTGGATGTGAGAAATACATTGTTCCGCAGTACAAAAGATATATGACAAGACGAGATACTAAACATTACCGAATGTAAGAAATTAAAAAGAACAAGAACTATAATGCCAAGTATTATATTACACTTGGAGTGTAAGATCCTAATTGGAAGGTAAGCTAAGCGGGAGTGACGGGGACAAAGTGACTCACAACACAAACGCCACTGAGGTCGACTCTTCCCCATGTCTACTAGTGTCTCCAACCAGTGTCATCATCCTTGGGATTCTAGCCCGCAAGTCGGGGGGCACCAACCAACCTTAAGTCTAAACTGAGCGTTTTCAATCCTCGTGACCGTCATCAGTTGGACTTCCCCTTCTTTCATTTAAGCCCAGGTCGCGCAAACGAAGCACTTCGCGGGAGTCGGTGTGCTGGCATGCGCAACATTTGGCTCAGCCATCGGAGCCTGGTGCTTGAAATAAAGGTGTTGAATGGTTCACTTGCTCTTCCTGCATCAGACGTGAGATGCCGAACACGCTCATTGCTCACGCGGTGTTCCCAACAAACATGAGCTAAACTGCGAAGACAGCGAGGTGCCTGCGTACTTGTATTTCTGGACTTTTGGTTGTTCACTACCAAAGATTGACAGCCAGTGCTATTTCACACGTTTGGAAGCTGTCAAAACCTAGCGTAATATCGTCGATGTACTCCAAGTCAAAGCTCAATCACTTGGAAGCAGGTCCACACCTTCAAAGCCGTGTCCAGTGAACGCCGTTTCCATGACTTCGTCAATGGCGACCCTGTCTCACGCCGGTGGAGTTATTGAAGGACTGCCAAATTTAGCCATAAGCCCACACTCGGCCCGAACTAAGCGCCTACCGTGCTCGGATAATGTTAGTTCTCGGACGCATCTTTCCTGACTATATAGTCCCAAAGAGCACATCGATCCATCGAATCGAAAGCTCCTTTGATGTCCAAGAACCCGACTACGGTGGGACGCCAATAAGTATAGTGATTTTCTAACTATTAACCTGATGTAAAGATGAGGTCAATACAGCCTCGATTTCGACGAAACCCGGCTTGCTGCTGTTGCGTCTGGCCTTCATGCGTGCCAGTCAGTTTGTGGAGAATGATAGAGGCAAGTAACAGAGGCGATTGAGATCAGACTGATCTATCCATGATTGCCGTTTTCCAAACGTGAGCCTTCCTTAAAAGTGGGGACTGTAACGAAGTGGCTGCACTGTTGGGACAGTTTGCTGCTCCCATAGCTTCACTAGTAAGCTGCGCAACTCTAAAAGCTCAAGTCCCCAGAATTTGAAGAGGGCTGGATCAAATCTATCTGTTACTGCGGTCTTATTCAATATCAACAGGATGATCTCGCTTTCGACTTCCGCCCGTGAGGGCGTATCCAGTGGCACGTCCCAGAGAAAATTGCGATCAATGGCCGATAAGAAAAATGATAACTCTGACTGGTTAAACTGCTTGCCAGTGTTCGGCCCAACGCACCAAGCGTTTTGACAAGTTGTGGATTGGCTGTCCACCCTCATCACGTATGGTTTCACTAACACCAAGTTTCCTACTCGTTTCGGTTATCAGAAGGAATGAATTCTGAAGGTTACCAAGAGCAGCAGCTGTCTCCATTTCCTATGTACTATTAAACCACCAGTTCAGCTTTGTGGTCTCTGCGAATCGGATTTTGTTCACTTCCAGCCGGAACAAGTCGGCTAGCATCCAAAGTCCTAGAGACTGCGTAGAGACCCAATGTCTAGGTTGGCAATTTGATTTGCCAATTGAAGACATGCTTTCTGCTAATAGCGTCTGGTGGATATGCGATTAGTGATCTTTGTGTTCAGCAGATGTTTACTTCGTCCGCTTGT